TTAGTGAAGTATCTTAAGGGTAGTCCCACATTGGGACTCTTTTATGCAACAGACCCCTCCTCACAACTAGAGGCATTTTGAGATGCTGACTGGGGGAGTTGTAACCTCACTAGAAAATCTCTGTCGGTATTGAATCTTCCTTGGTCAAGCTCTGGATAACTAAAAAGCAAAACACGGTGTCTCTTTCTTCGACTGAGGTTGAATGTCGGCTCATGGCCACCACGGTTTGTGAGCTTAAGTGGCTCTCTTACTTAGCCAAGGATTTTGATTTGCAGCTTATTCAATCAATTCCTCTTTGGTGTTATAAATAAGCGTCATTGCGTATCACAACTATTTCGGTCTTCCACGAGCACACTAAGAACTTGGATATCGATTGTCGTGTGGTGCGGAACATGTTTAAAGTTGTTCTATCAATCCTCTTCACATTTCATACTCTTGTCAACCAACAGATTTATTCACCAAATCTCTTGGTGGTCCAGAGATTCATCCATTTATTTGCAAGTTGGGAATGTGTGTCTGCTCCCCCATTCCCACTTCAGGGGGAAATTGTTAGCTCGTGTATTCTTTTATTTAAGCACTTGTTATTAAAAGGACTATTTTGCCCTCATTGGCTAGAACACGAGCTGTGTGCTCTATATGTACCTTATGCATTTCATTGTGAAACTTGTGAAATATGAGATCACTAGTACGCTACCCGCGCGATGCGCGGCCTGATGTTATAAGTGATGTGGGTACATAATAATTCAAATGAATGAAAAGTTATTCAATAAAAAGTATAATAATTTTTTGATTTATCACATCTTAAAATTTTTATTAAAAAAAATTATAACTCTAGAAACAATAATAATGTGCGACAGTATGTGATTAAAACATAGAATATGTTTTTTCCTTCAAATTTTTAAAATTAAATTCATTAAACTTACAAAAAAGAAACATATATGGGATATTCAATATAATAAAGTATTTGTCATATTAATTTCCTGATATTTTTTATTTATAAAATTGTCTCTTTAATAAAATAGTTTTCATTATCTTAAAACAAAATAAAGTCATTGTTAGTATTATACAAATAAATTGCTATGCACATAATTAATGTTAACATATATGAGTCAATTAAAATTAAGAAACTTAAATTGAATGCTTGATTAAAAAACACAAAGACGGCCCAACTTTTGGTCTCATGTATCTAGTTTTAAATTAGACCCACATGTTTTACTTTTTATTAAAAAAATTAAATATTAGCCATTCATTTTTAGTAAAATAAGTGTGAGGGTGATATGAGAATATGTTCATAATGGATCATTTTTTTGTAAAGTTACAGATAGGTCGTTAATCGTTAAAGTTCAAGTAAATAACATATTACTTGTTTTTCACTTGGAAATCATAAGAAATGCTATTTACTATAATTTTAGAAATGTACATGGACATAATTTTTGTAAAGTAATAAGAAAAAAAACATTTAAATTATATTACATAAATTCTAAAATAATAAAAATTATTTGTTTAAACAAACATTAATGATATATGTTAAGAAAAAAGTAGTTGGTATATGTGTTCTATGAATAAAAAATTAATAATATTGATGACAATATGTTATTTTATTCATTAAAAAAAAAAAAACAGCTACATACTTGAAGTTCGATAAAAGTTAAAATGATGATAGTTTCTTTAATAGCAAATTGTTAGATTATCTCAAATTTTAGACCTATATAGAACAAATGATACCAACTAAAAATAAATTAAATTAAATAACGATACATTTTTGGCTCAAACTATTTAATTAATTGGTGCTGAAATCTATATAAAAGACCTTGTATAATATAGATTTTCACTGAATAATAGAATAATAAATATGTATTTTCTTGCCCAGTCTTCAAAATAAAAATCACGCCATTACTGTTCCCTCTTTCTTATGGTTGGGATACTCTCATTCTTTCTGTCATCATTTTCTTTCTCTTTTTTTTTTCTCCTTTTACAATACTCATTTCGTATCATTACCCTATCGCTTACCCATAAACGAAACCTAACTTCATGTCATGTTCTAACACAAAACCATCTCATTTTTTATTTCGCATACAAACTTAACAGTGTATATCCGTCTAATTGTGAACAGTAAGAAAACATTAGGTCTATATATCAAAATATATATTTTTTATAGACTTTTAAGATATTTTACTTCCAAACTATATTCCTGAAACATTCAAAATGGTAACAGTCAATGTTAGGTCAACACCAACACTTACTTTACATGAAATTTATGATAATTTTAATTTAACTTATTTTTTAAATACATGTTGATAAATTCATGAAAAATAATAAGAATAAAAATATTTAAATTATAATCTATAATTCTAAAATAATAAAAAGTAAACAAACACTTGTGATATGTAATAAAGAAAATATAATTGTTGCATCTTTAGTATGTTGTGTGAAATTTTATTTGTCACAATCCGGCCATTCTAAAAAATTTAATGATCGATATATAAACAAAAATTAATAATAAGATTACCCATTAGGCATTTTCTTTTCAAAAATATATTATTATATAAATATGGGCCAAGAAATAAACTAAAATGGAAAAAGAAAACTATGCACATACGTTTAAATGGTCTCTTCAAGATTTTGGAAAAAGCTAAAATAAATTGTACTGACGAAATATTAACAAAATTATACAAACTATGTATTTTGGCCAAACAACATACTCCTAATCACAACAAAATCAATATGAAAATGCCTAATATATAACTGGAAATTAATTAAAAATTGAACGATATATATGTATTTTCCTCTCCATACTTCACAATCAAAGCTATTTTAATGTATTTTGAATATTTTTTTATGATTATGATATATAATGCTCCATATGAATATATTAGAACTATTTAAGAATTAAATATTTTAATAGATTTTTTTTGGAATTTATTTCGTCATGTTTTCTCTTTTTTAAGTTATCGATCGGTTGAAAAAGTAAATATGGATATATTTAATAAATATGAGGTTATAATTAAACTTGGACTGGTCCACCAATCAATAAGAACAATTTAATAATCATTTGTGAAGATAGGAAAAATGTAAATGAAAAATTGGATTGGAAATTTACAATAATAATATTTTTAAATTAGCCTTTAAAAGAAACAATATAGTAATATTATTTGAATTATCTATAACTGCTAGGTTTTCAGTTTTTATGCTATAAACTTTTATTTTGCCGCATTATATTGGTCTACATAGAATTTGACGAATTTGTTTCAAATTTATTTGACAATGAAAATTGGAGTGAAGTTTCCAATGTGTTATTATGTATAAATTTAATTCTATTGTTATGGTTATGAAACCTAAATCTAAATAATTTTACTTCCCAAGTAGGTTATCCGCAATTTTTTAGACCTATTTTCACTTGGTTTACACCTTGACCCAAAAAAACCTATAGATGCATTTTTATTTTTTTTATTTTGAACATTATGTCTCTTTTAATTTAACTACATGTAAAATTTAACTTTATTATTTTTGTCATTGCTTTCTCTTTGTATCTTCTTTCTATTTTTGTTTATATGTATAATATGTTTCAATACAAATATGTCGATCTCATAAACATAAATAAAGTTTTGAAAGAAAAATATTTTTTATTGATATTTCAATTGTATAGATATGTATATACTTTTAATTTTGAGAATAATTGTTAATATGTTATAATTTTCTGTTTAGTTTTTATGATTTTTTGCAGTGAAAATTTTACTCAATGAATTAAACATAAAGACATCCTATAAAAATGATGTCTTTTAATCTTTTAAATTCTATAAACTTTTATTTTACCGTATTATTATAATTAAATATATGTTAGGTTTTATATTATGTGGTTACGAATTTACAATTTCAAAATGACCCACAATTGTGAAACATGTATAACTAAATTAAGACTACATTAGGCTCTTATATTGTGGTTTTACAATGAAAACATAATATAGTTTTATAATTTAAAATATCCAAAGTGGAAGGTTTTAAAAATTTAAAGAAATAGTCCATTGAGGACAATTAATAGAAAATTTGACATTAATCATTATGTTTTTTTTGTTTGATCTAATTATTAGTTGTATAGAGATGTGTAGAATTAGCACAACATTCTATTATACACAATTCCAATAAGACTTTTAATTTTTAGACAATATTTATTGATTTTATCAAACCATTAATGAGTAACATTTAATATAAAATGGGAGGGAAAACAAATTTT